TCAGAGCAATTTGCACAAAGGGATCAAGTCAGCTGATAACATTGGTATTTACATACTTGTGACATTTAGGAATCATGCAAAGCCTTCTCTTCCCATTAAGAATCAGACAGAGAAGAATCTTTAAATCTTTTTTAAAAACTTTTTTTTTAATTTATCTTTTTTTAATGTAGAGAACTACAATGGCTAAGGCTAGTTTCAATAAAATGAGCCCAATCCTGAAAAATACAAACGTCTCAATGAACACCAAAATGAAAGTCCTGAAATGCTATGTTTGGTCAACCCTTCTATATGGCTGTGAATGCTGGACAATCACTAAAGACAGTGAAAATAAAATAGAAGCGACAGAAATGTGGTTTCTTAGGAGACTGCTAAGAGTATCGTGGAAGGAAAGGAAATCAAATGAGGTAGTGCTTGAAGAAGCCCACGTGGGACGCTCAATGTTAAAAACAATCAGGAAACGACAAATGCAGTTTTTGGGACACCTCAATAGACATAAGGGTCTTGAACACCTAGCTCTCACTGGCAAAATAGAGGGCAAGCGAGGCATGGGTAGGCCCAGAACAACATACTTAGGGAACCTGAACAAATGGGTAACAGGGAAAGATCAGGGAAAAATAGCTTTTTTGAGAGCTTCCGGGCAAAGGAATGAATGGAAAACCATGATCGCCGATGTCTGTTGCAGATCTGGCACTGGATGATGATGATGAACGTAGGTGTTTTTATGCCACCATTGACACAATTTAGATGATCATTTAGAAGGCGGGCCTCAAACCCGGCCTGTCAGTGCCAATCCAGGCTAAGTGGGTTACAACATCCCAGCAGAAAGACTGAGACACTTGATAAAGATTAAGCACAGGTCTCCTACTTGAGACAGCGAAGCCCCTAACTCCTACACAACAGATACCCCCCACCAGGGCAGTGCTACAGACTAAAGAGTCTTTAGGCCATTCCCAAAGGGGGGATATTATCATGTTCTTATGCACAGTAGAATTGCAAATGGGCTGATTTATCAACGTCATGCTCATTCTGGGTCAGAACAACATAGGTGGAACTGCTGCTTTTTCTTTCCTCTACCTTACTATCGTCATTTTTCCTCTACTTCTTTTGTATGTTTGTCACTCTCTTGCGAACTGCTATTTCCGGGGTGCCTTGACAGTCGAATCAGGTTTTGTGCTGTTGAGGCTAGAGAGATGAGCAGAGTAAGCCTGATTCTCCCTTTGGACCTCTCTGTTGACATCCACCCCTTGGCGCTCATTTGACCTTATGCAGTTGCGAGCGCCCTGAAACCTTACTAAAAACTAAAAAACAACAGACGCTGGTCTTTCATTCCTGAAGTATTGAGCCTATTCCAGGTCATTGCATGACAACCTCTGAGTTAGAGATGACACCCACAGGTACCCAGGCTGTGGGAAATTCGACTCACCTAGCCTCAGCCGGTCTTTGGAGAACTCCCACTTGGGGTCGTAGGGCAGACATCCGGTCTGTTCGTCAATTGGCAAGTCTGGGTTATAGTCTCCCTCCGGTTGGATCAGGAAGTGCTCCAGCTCTTTGTGCTGTGAGGTTTAGAAAACAATACGTTACCGTGAAAGAGAGAAGTGATCGACGTAAATCAAGTGAAAAGAGGGCAACATTTTAAAATAAGATATTACTTTTTCCTTTTAAATACCTAACATAAAAAAATAAAATAAATCAAATTCTGTTTTTAAAAATCACTGCAATTTAAGAAGCATCTATAATCTCTCATTTATATTTGAAAAGAGGATATGTTTGAAAAGAGAAATAACTTTTTTCCTTTCAAATATCTTACATTTATTTTTGTATTTAAAAAAAAACACCAACAACTATTTTTTAAAATCACAATATTTTAAGAAGCTTCTATAACCTCTCATTTATTTAAAAGAGGAAATATTTCTTTTAAAAGTATTACAGTAAGATATTCTTCTTTTTTAAATTTCTTTTTTTAACATCTTCTGTCTATTTACTGGGTGGTAGAAATAAACTAGTGGGGAGAACATGGGTACTTACAAAACCTGACTTGGATTTCCTGATTCTGATGATGACAATGACGAAGATGATGATGATGAAGAGAACGATGCCCACAATGACGCCAATGTAAGCCGGGGAGAAGGAAGCCTCGTTGGTCGAACCTGCTGGTCACACACCAAGAATATCGTCAGGTCAGTGTGAGATCATTATTATGTGAGCGTGACATCATTATGTCAGTGTGAGATCATTATGTCAGTGTGACATCATTATGTCAGTGTGACATCATAATGTCAGTGTGAGATCATTATGTCAGTGTGACATCATTATGTTAGTGTGAGATCATTATGTCAGTGTGACATCATTATGTTAGTGTAAGATTGTTGTGTCAGTTTGATATTATCACTACAGTGTGAGATCATTATGTCAGTGTGACATTGTCATGTCAGTGAAATGAACAATGAACATAAACTCAGTTATTAAATGTGAGTGTGAAGAACATAAACTCAGTTATTAAAGGTGAGTGTGATGAACATAAACTCAGTTATTAAAGACAGTTGTTTTAGTGTCAGTGTATTTATTTAATCAACTTTTTTACTCTCACATGAGGAGGGAAGAAAACCTCCAAGGGACATGGGGATTTCCTAAATTTGACATTTTGTCCCGTAAATTGTTTTTAAAAAAATACTTGTTCAAATATAAGTAAGACTAAAAAGACACCACAAACACAAAACACCTTAAAAAAGATCACAGAAAGACACACATAGAGTAAGACACGTACACTTGTTTTGAACGTCACTAGCATGTGATTACAGTCATTTCTGATAAAAATAATGATGAACAGAATGGAACAAGCCAAACGATAGATCAAAACAGACAACACTGAAATTTAAAATTGTTCCCCCTGTTGTCTTCATCTACAAAAACAAAATGTACATTTTTTCTCTTGTACTGTTCATTAGCAATATCAAAATACAGATATCCCCCCCCCCCTCCCCCCGTACTCTTCTTTAACGATGACAGAACGTCCAAGGTCACTTACTTCCCACCAAGAAGGTCATGTTGCTGCTCCAGATCTCGCCTCCGTAGTTCCAACCTTTGCACTGGTAGTTCCCCTCATCAGACTTGCTGGCGTTCTCTATGGTCAGACTGAGGTCAGGAAGGTCAGCAAAGTTATTACCATATCCCTACAAGTCTTCATAGAGTCAAGATAATAATAATAATAAATGACATTTATAAAGTGCTCAACCCCGATTAAAGTACACAGGCTCTGAGCACTTTACAATACAGTACAACATACAACAGTAGCATAAAACGTGTTCTGACTAAAGAAAATTACTCCAAATATTCATCTTATTAATTTAAAAACAGAAACGACTTCAGCTGACAAATGAATGAATCAAAAGATTTGATCTCTCTTAAAGAACTTCGTAAAGCATTCCAGATCTTGGGGCCTTGGTATTCAAAGGCCCTTTCACCCATTGTTTTAAGTTTCATAGATGGTAAAATAAATTTCTTTTTGTAAGCTGATGACCTTAAACTGTGAGTTGGAATGTACAGTCTTAACAGATTGGATAAATATGATGGTGCAAAACAACTGTTTATAGATTACTCACAAAGGAATCAGTTTTATTTTTACCACAATGAGTCCCTTTAAACACAAACAATATTTCAACAATCATCCTAAGTGAACTTATATTTTATTTATCCCCTTTGAGTCTACATAATTTAGATTGTCGAAACAACTTATAAATAATTATTCATAACAAAACATGCAAGCACTGCGACAGAATCTGTACTTCAAACATAGGAAGAAGAAAAGAATTAGCCATGAAAGAAGCTGCATGAAGACAACCTTGAGTCCATCAAAGCTGAATTGACCGTCTGTATAGACAATAAAAGCTATACACAGTTTATCGATTCCATAAAAAATGACCTAGATGTTTGTTTATATGACACTCACAAGCAACATCACACCATAAAGACAAATAAATATTTACACACTTCACACAATGTCTTGTTAAAATGAAACTCCCCCAACAAAAACCTTTTTCCTAGAAATGTACAAGGGCCTTTTCACGTCTTCATTAAAAACAAGGGGGGTACTTTTTTGTCCGAAGTGCTAAATAGCGATGTCAAAATACATTTATTCCAATTCTTTAAAAATTACTGTGCCCTTGGTCCTGTCTTTTCTTGATGAGGTCACAATCCATTTTCTTAGCCCATGTATATATTCGCCAAAAAGAGTAAAATACTGAATGGGACTTGTGGTTCAGAAAGTGAAGGTGACAGCCAATTGTACTCTTTAAGCCGATTACGTTGTACCAAAGTTTTACTGAAACACATGACGCTGTTGCGAGCACCTAGCACACCTCTGTGATTGGCCCAAATATAGATGACATATTTCCGCCATCTATTTTTGTCGTCTTCCGGGGTTTCCTCCAAGACTCTTGGGTTTCCCTCGCCAGTAACTTTTACTGTTGACTAGACTCTAGATCTCACCGTGTTTGTTTACTGGGGTTGTTTTTTTTCGGTATTAATTTATCTTACCTTTTATAAACAGCCTCAGCCATTCTCGTTTCATAAATTTACCTTCTCCTCAAAGTTGTACACACACACACACATACACATACACACACACACACAGACACACACACACACACAAGCCTGCGCGCACACACAGCCCAAACAGTCGTCGGCGATGAAACCTAGATCTAGAGAGCGCAAAGCGGCAATGCAGGTCCGCCACGGTGAGATCTCGAAACTGGCGAGGGAAGCCCCGGAAGACGATAAAAATAGAAGGCTGAAATACGTCATCAATATTTGGGCCAATCCCAGAGATGCGCTAGGTGCTCGCTGCAGCTTCATGTTACTGAAACTTGTTTAGTCAGGGAGTCTCACAAAACCAACCGAGCTCCAAATTAGAGCTGGGCGGCAAGGTTCCCGATTATTGAAAGCTAAGAATCGTAGGATTTGACTCCAAACCCAATTACTTACTTTCTAATGATGTGATTTCTTCCGGTGGTTACCTGGTTGACTCCGAACATGTTCAAGATTTAGGATAACCTTGATTTCGGAACACTACGAAGCATCAACTTGTATCGTTCAAAAATACATTTTTTTTTAAATAAGAAGATTTTAATTATTAAAATATCTGGTAACCGTTGGTTTACATAACAAGGAGTCGGAACTTTTCTTCCGTAGCATTAATCGCGGGAATCAGTTCCGGAATCGATCGTTCGCCCAGCTCTACTCCAAATCCTGTCTGGTTACAAACTTAACCAATAAGCAAAAACACCTGAGCTCACCTGTTCTTTGTCATAGCTTTTCAACACTTAATTGGCATCTTTCTCTGAGTACGCTTACCAGGAAGCCGATAATGATTCTGAGTGTTCAAGGGGGGTCTGATGGTGAAAATGGTGAAATGGTATAGGTTTAACTCCCCTATCAACACTATTAGGTTATGTAAGAGGCGGGAATTTTCGAGTTTAATATCCGTTTTCGAAAGGACCATGCCAAAATGGGAAATCCGTGGGGTCATGTGGGATAATAATATAGATGGTAAAGCGCAGAGAGCTTGTTTTTGAGAGGGGGATTGTGCTACATAAATACAAATTAATTGTAAGGCAGCGCGGTGGAATCAGGCTCTCGTTAAAATAATCAAAGTGAAGAAACTTGCAGTTTTCCGCAGGTTTGTGAATTTTTATCAAATCGTTGTTTTTTGGCTCAACACCTTTCATGCCCATTAAAGACCTCATTTCTGTGTGGGTTTTTCTTAAAAATGTTGATTAAAGGCACAAAAAATGTAAATTATCTCAATTTAAGGAAATAACCAATCTTTGGCAGCCATTTTCTCACTAATTTTACCTCTGAAAACAGGTGACCCCCACCTCCTTCATTCGCAAATATCTCGACTTGTATTCAAGATAAATGCATATTTTTTTCATCCAAATAAAGACAAGTGAACAAGCTTTAAGATGATACCAAAAACTCTGCCTGCCCAAAAATTGACAAGAGCCTGATTCCACCACGCTGCCTCACAATTATTATCAATTTTTTTCCATACCTGTTCTCGGTGAAGATGAAGAAGCGCGAAGAGTTCTGCAGGAGCAGCTTCTTGTCCTTGTACCACGTGACCACGGGGGGAGGTAACCCCGTGACCCCGCACTGGAACACGGCCGACGAGCCAATCTCCACCTGCCGGGAGCCCGTTGTCTGCGAGTAAACCATCGGCTTCTTGATCGCTGCCAACGACAAGGTGCAAAATAAAAAACATTTCACTCACTTACGTTTAGTACTTGTTTCAGAATTTTTGATTTAGTAGAGGCTTTACTGCGCTCGCAAATGCATAAGGTCATATGAGCGCCAGAAGATTAGAGGTGTTACAAGAGAGTAACAAACATAAAAAAGAAGAAGGGGAGATAAAGATGATAGATGTTTGATAGGAAAGAAAAGCAAACCATACAAGAGCACCCGCCAACCATCCACTGTTTCAGAATTGATATCGACAAGATGTAAGAGAAAAAAAGAAAGTTGCCCCTCCACCCCTTCCCTCCCCCCTCCACCCCTCACCCCCGCCCCCTCACTTAGGATGAGCTTGACCTTGTGCGCACTTTGGGGTAGGGTGGGGGGGAGGAGGGAGCGTGTCACAGTGGAGTTGGTATGCGATGGTCCTGCCCTGCATCCATCAACGAGGCCACAACCAGGGATGCCACACAACTTTTTTTTAAATAGCTGAAAATCCACGCGCCACGGTCTTGCTAACATATGAATATCAATTTGAAACCCCAAGGGTGTACACAGAGAGAAATGAAACATTATCTGAACTTATGGCAAAGTCTCCGTTATTTGAATATTTGGCGCAAGTTGTGTGTGGGGGGGTGGGGTTGTTTTTTTTTCCCCAACTATAGATTCTATTATAGGGTCAAAATACCGGAAATACAAGAAAAAAGTGGAAAAGTGGCATCCCTGCACAACACTGAGTCTTGTCTAACTCACCATAGAGTGTGAGCTGATAGTGTCTGGTGTGGGACGCGTTCTCCAGGCTAGAGATTCCCTCGCAGATGTACAGTCCCTCGTCGGATGCCTGCAGCTTGTCAAACACCAGCGCCACCTTGATAGAGTGCTCCGTTCTGGGGTGGGGGGGGGGGGGGGGGAAACACAGCAAGAGTTCGCCGGTTCATTGTTCACATAGTACACACTTTAGCCAAACATCAGCACATTTACACATGCATACAAAAATAAATTCATGCAAAAGACACATACACACACACATGTACAAATACACACACACACACACACACACACACACACACACACACACACACACACACACACACACACACACACACACACACAATAATCATCCTTAAAGTCAGCGTACAGCATACAAAAAGCTATGAAGCAACTCTTTAAATCTAAATGTTATTGTATTCAAGACTTTGAGTCATTTTGGGGAGGAGGAGAGGAAGCAAAGAGAAAAGAGGAGGACATGGGGAATGGAGGAAAAAAGGTGGGTTGACATCCATGAGTTATATGTACATATTTACAACTCATTGCGCAAATCTCACTTTTTGCTTTTGCTTGAGTAAAGGTCAGGCAAGTGTCGGTGACACGTGGTTTAGATGGGTGGTGACCTTGGGTGTGTCCTTGAGCAAGACACGACAACCCTAGCTCAAAATACAGGGCGCTACACAGTGGCGACCGACAAAAGCATAGTTGTTTTTTGTTTTCTTAAATTTAAACACATCGATACAATAACTATCTTTTAAATCAGGAAAAAAAAAGCAAAACAGACTGGCAAAAAGAAACGACAGAAGGAATGAAAAGAAGTAGGAATAGCACACGCACCCCCCCCCCCTCCCAACCACCCACTTCTCTCACCTCTCGTGAATAATTCTCGGCCCAGTTCGCAGCGAGCCGGGCTTTCCATCAGTCCCTGGAGAAGGAGTCGTGACATTGCTGGTGCTATTTATAGCCTCGTCGGTGGTGAAACTGGCCACAGCGGTAAACCCTGAGCCCATGGTAGTGAGGCCTGCGTCTGTGGTGGCCAGTGTGGTGGTCTGATCCGGTTTGATCCGGTTCATGGCCATCTTTTTGGCCAGCATCGTGGTGAGGGGGGAGTCGTCGACGGCATACAGTGTCACTGAGCTGGGGACATGACATCGAGGTTACAACATTCTGTCGATGGGTTATTCTTTTTCTTCTTCTTCCTCATTCTCGAATGGCGAGTTGTTCAAATGAACAAAGCTCAGAAAGTAAAATTTTACAGGAGAAAGACAAAACTGTTTCCTTCTTTTAACAATTGTGAGGCAGCGTGGTGGAATCAGGCACTCGTCAGTTTTTGGGCACGTAGAGTTATTGGTGTCATCTTAAAGCTTGTTCACTTGCCTTTATTTGAATGAAAAAAGTATCCATTTATCTTGAATACAAGTCGAGATATTTGCGAATGAAGGAGGTGGGGGTCACCTGTTTTTAGAGGTAAAATTAGTGAGAAAATGGCCCCCTAAGATTAGTTATTTCCTTAGCTTAAGAGTCCGTGGTAGCTGAAAATTTACATTTTTTGTTCCTTTAATAAACGTTTTTAGGTGAAATCCTGAAAGGAATGTGTTTGTAAAGGGACATACAAGGTGCTGAGCCAAAAAACAAAAATTTGATAAAAATTGCTCAGCAGGGAGAAAAATAGAATCTGCACTTATACCGAGAGATAAACCGTTATTTTCCTGACTACAGTTTAGATTTGGAGAAACAATTAATTGCACACTTTCCAAATCCACTGAAATTTGTAAAAGTAAAAACATTTGTAGAATTGTTCAAAGCCCAGTACGCAGGAAGCAAGCCGTGTCCCCGTCCAAATCTTACTTGTAGAGCCACATGTTGGCGGAACAGACGACCTTGAGGCTGTCTCCGGGGACGATCTTCCTGTTTGCACTGTCCGTCACGTTCAACATGCCGTCAGAATCTGAGGAACAGAAGTACGTGAAAGAATAAAAGTTTGAGTTTGAGTCATAAAGAAAAGCACTGCGACTGTGAGACTACTAAAATGGCCCTTTTGTCAAAGAAAAGAGAAACAAAAATAGAAAGAAAAAAAAAAACCCAAAAAGAGCAACAAAATAGAAAGATAGAAAAAACCCCAAAAAGAGCAACAAAATAGAAAGAAAGAAAAAAAACCCCAAAAAGAGCAACAAAATAGAAAGAAAGAAAAAAACCCAAAAAAAGAGCAACAAAATAGAAAGAAAGAAAAAAACCCAAAAAAAGAGCAACAAAATAGAAAGAAAGAAAAAAACCCAAAAAAAGAG